CTTTAGCTCTTCCCTTTCTCTGGAGGTGACAGGAATACCAGGACAGGATTGTATTCCTAACAGCCCAATAGCACTTTATTTCAATGTGACTAGTTTGGAATGTGAGGATGTGACCGTTCACTTCCCAGCTTATGGCTGCCTCTGCTGCTTAGCCAAAGGCCTTACTTAGCCTAAGAACAGAGCCTCAGACTGTCACAGTACGAGAAAGCCCTTTCACAGACAGAGAGTGATTTTGATTCTTTCTTTTATACCTCTATAACTAGCTAAGTGATAAGAATACACCTAAATTCTTAAAGTATAGGCCTTTGCAGACAGGCCTGAATATCTATATTCTAACAAGGAACAGTCAACATGGATTCACCAAGGGCAAATCATGCCTGACCAACCTGATTGCCTTCTATGATGAGATAACTGGCTCTGTGGACATGGAAAAGTGGTGGAGGTGATATATCTTGACTTTAGCAGAGCTTTTCATAGAGTCTCCCACAGTATTCTTGCCAGCAAGTTAAAAAAAGTATGGATTGGATGAATGGTACATAAGGTGGATAGAAAGCTGGCTAGATAATCGGGCTCAATGGGTAGTGATCAACAGCTCCATGTTGAGTTGGCAGCTGGTATCAAGTGGGGTTCCCCAGATGTCGGTCCTGGGGCCAGTTTTGTTCAAGATCTTTATCACTGATCTGGATGATGGGATTAATTGCACCCTCAACAAGTTTGCAGATGACACTGAGATGGGGGGAGAAGCAGATACACTGAAGGGTAGGGATAGGGTCCAGAGAGCCTAGACAAATTGGAGGATTGGGCCAAAAGAAATATGATGAGGTTCAACAAGGACAAGTGCAGATATGTTTTTATCAATTTTAACTTTGAGAAGCTATGCTCCCCACTAGCTATGGAAACTGGCAAAGTTAAAAGAATGAGTAGAGATAAACAAACGTTTGGAAAACTGTCAGTGAGTTTATTTTCACAAGAAAACTTCTGTACTTCTTCAGGAGTGGAATGTTTCTTAAGTTGTCTTGAAAAAGCCTGAAGCTCACTGCACAAGTCTGTAGCATCAATGTCTTTTGAATTTTCATGAGTCAATGCCGACTCCAGTTTTATACAACATTCTCTTATCTGTTTTGCTGTTTTCTTTTGCAAGCTGTGGATATCATATAGAAAACCAAATACTGCCTCTAGCTGCTGCATCTGTTGAAATCTTTCATCAACGAAGTGAATAGCTGTATCAAGGACTGCAAAGTAGAATTTCACATTGAACCTGTGTTTGGGGTTCTGAATGGGTGTGTCTCATCCTTCATATGAAAACTGCTGTTTCTTTTGCCGAATGTGAACTGGCTCTGGTTCAAATTCTGTCGGAAAGTCTATTTCTTCAGCAAGCTCGAGAGAATCTACAAGTGTTCATTCGAACCCTTCATCACTTCTGAATTCCTCCAGGATATTTTTAGTTTGCTGCAGTTTTTGAATAGCAGAATGTATGTTCAAGTTCTTTTCCTGAAGCTGCTAACTAGTGAGGTTAATCTTGAAAAGGATGTTCTATCACAAAATGAGTGAGGTCACAAATTTGAACTTGGAAAGGCCATTTATAAGAGCTTCTGCATCTGTACGTGCCGTATTGCCAGATGATCCAGTAAAGGTAGTATCATCAGAAATTTCAATTAGGGCATCATAAATGTTTCCAAGTTCATAGTGAAGAGGCTTTAAAGCATCAATGCAATTCTCCCATCTTGTCTGACTAAGTGGTTTCACAGTTAGAGAATTCACATGGCAAGTCAGAATCTCCCAACGACATGTTGAGCCTGTGAAAAACAAACACGTTGCACCAGGTCAAAGAAACTGCTTGCCTCCAAACAGCATCTAGCAGCATCATTGACAACCAAATTCAGAGAACGTGCTGTGCTACGAACAAACTACGGCCTTAGATAGAATACCATCA